TCACGCAGTGTGAAAACAACGGCGATCCGACGAGTTTGAAAATCATGCAGTGTGAACTCGGCATTAATGTTCACAGACACTAGTCCATCGCGTTTTGATTTCAGTGTACTGACCTAGGCTACTTTTAATCTGTTCATCCCAGTGTTTTACTCAGGAAGTTCGGCTCTTATTAAAATGCATTCTTAAAGTACCGGTACTAGTAAAATGCAGAATCGTACCGTTTTTAAAAGCGATATCGCGATACGTTTTTAGTACCAGTATATCGTGCAACACTAATTTACATAAAATAAATGTTAACTGAAATCATTACTAAAAAGGAATAAAATAAAAAAAAATTCAGCTAGCTCCAGGGAAACATTTCACATTTTCATTTATTTTAAATGATGCACTAAAATGACAAACAAAAACTAATAAAAAAAGACAAAAATTATTAAACTAAATAATTAAAACTTTAACTAAACTTAAAATTAAAACTGGAAAGGGGGTCTGAATACTTTCCGTACCCACTGTATATATATATCAAAAATCACCTGTTTATTCTAAGGGAGAAGGAGATGAGAAAAAATGTCACATCAACAACAAAAACAAATCCAGACACCCATTTAAAACGGACTTCAGTACAATTCTTTGTGTACCCAAATAAAGACAGTTTTCCATTCTAATTAAATAAATCTTCATAGTCAAATCAAGACAAAACCTCTAGTATGACAGTGTCAAATGTGTGTGATGTACCTGGCCATATCAAAAGCCTGTGAGAGGCAGCTGTCCAGGTTCAGGTAGTGTTTTATCATGCGTCGAGCTCCGTGCCGCTGCCAGTCCAGTACATTGTAACTTATCTCATCAATAACATGAACCGGGACCACCGGGAACTCCTCCAGTACAGTCATGCCAGCCGTCAGCCGCCGCAGCTCCCAGTTAGATTGAACAGCAATCAGGGTCGGACCACGCCGCTCCTCCTGCACACGTTCAGAAAAACAGCTGTTATTCATCTGCTCAACTGTGCCGTCAGCTGTATTGTGCTTTAAATAACATGTTGAGGCCATACCTTGTAGTTGAGGAGAATGCGTTGCAGTGCGCGGTAGATGGCTTTGACATCGTTTTCAGCACGCACTTCAAACAGATGTTTCTCAGGTGGCAGCAGCTCCTCTGTGGTCTTCTCCAGGAGTGCGGTGCGCTCTGCTCCGTACAACGAGCTAAGGTTCGGCATCTGATTACTGCGCACCTACATTTTGTGTAAATTTCGGTAGTGTTAACTGCATCATCATTTTGCATTGGGTGTTTTTCATTCTCATTTTCCATTTTTTCAGAGCAGCTCGGTTCACAGTAAATGTCACTCCACACTAACTAGAATTAGTTTGGGTTATTTACATTTGGGAATGCAACAAGAACTAACCATCTAACCAAGTTGTAATGAGCAGAGTTTATAAACTGTCAACAAAAGAGAAACTTTAAGTTCTATGGTTTAAAGTTTGAAAATTAAGAAATTAAATCAGATATAATTAGGGATGTAACGATTAACCGCGAGCTGGTTGAAAATCGATTCAAAAATGTCCCGATTCAAATCAGTTGAGATACCAAACAAATCGCGTTACAATTGGAGTAGGAGTTTATATGAATGTATCTCTGAGGGGAACTGACTATCTTTAAAAACGTTTACGAGGTATTTTCTTTTCATCTTGCCTCTGAACCATGCATATTAAAGTAGTGTTTATAAGCACAGCTCTGCTATGTTTACAGCGGTAACCCAGGAAATCATGATTAAAATCCAGTGGTTGCCTCTAATTTTAAATGGAAAGAGCACAGACAAAGCCTTAGTTTGTTCATATTTAGAGATTTTTATTTGTGTAGCTTACTTGTTTGATTTGGGGTTTGTTTTAAAATTTAAATTTAGTTTTGTTATATTTCAATTTCACAAAGAAACGTGCAGCAATAGCCTAATAAAACGACACCTTTTCATTTACTGTATGATGTCTTCAATCTCATTTTGTAAAAATGAAACATAAGAAAATCAAATCGTGAAATCAAAATCATGAATCGAATCGTGAGTTGAGTGAATTGTTACATCCCTAGATGTAATAATTCGTTTTGTAAGTTTACAGCTTTACTGTAAAATTATTATTTTATTATACAGTGAAATATTACACAACTTACTTCAATTATTTAACTTAATTATTTTATAGTCATGTTGATATGTAATCATAAATTAGCCAAATCATGCAGTACTATAAACAAGCACAGAAAATGTGCTTTTTTGTGAAAAACACATTTTAAAATAACATTTTTTTAAAAGAAAAATCACAATTAGATTAGACAATTACAATCGCCCTAGAATCTCATTTACCAACTCATTGAGCTGACGATTTAGCTTAGCTGACATTTCAATATAACCTACAGTTAAGCTAGTAAACTATATTATTCAGAAGAAATGTGATCATTTGATTACTGTGTTTAATAAAATACTGTGTTTTACACTGTGTGTTGCCATTTTATCAAAGCAATAAGCCACAAGGAGAAGGGGGTTTCAGGTATAGAGTACCTTAACGTTGTAAAAGTACTGTAGGTAAACATGAGCAATCCCATACCACATTACCACATACTGTCTGAGGCATATGCATTTGGCAATTTCCCCCTTTTTGTCAGTTCTTTCCTGTTCACTGACGTTTCATCACTCTTAGGGTCATCTATTTGTTTATTTTGGTTTGTTTCCTATTCATTGTTGTTGAGTTTTGAGTTCACACATGCTTCCAGCTGAATTTTAGAGCTTACCGTGTCAAGAACAAAGATGCTGGCTTTGCGTTGGGATGGTATGAAGAGGCCAAAGAGAGCCTTATGGCCCTGACTGTGATGGTACAGGTAGATGTGCCTTACACTGCCTGTAACACATAAAACACATTATATTTAACTCAAACAACTTGAAGCACATCAGCCACTAGATGCGTAAGCATTGCTACAGTGTATGTACGAATGTTTTAACCAATCATCAACAAAACTAAAAACACACTGAAAGCGATTATGTCACCTGGCTCGAGGTAGCTGAACTGGGCCAGGGATCTCATTTCTAGGTGCTCCAGGTCGAAGGTATCAGCCTCTCTGCCAGCCAGGTCTCTGACCACCTGTTTATTGACCATACACATGCAGCCCAACTGGACCAGAGCCCGGAACAGCAGAGGAACCTACAGGTCACATGAAAGGGCAAGAGACAGACATAAGGAAATGACCTCTATTGATACTATAAATAAGGTCAATGCACCACAGAGCAGAAACCCACTCTGGACATGTCTATTTGTAGAATACTGTATGTAGAATATTCCAGGCTTACTATCAAAATAAAGACAAATTCCTACATCACAACAGTCATTAAAAGGCAAGATCTCATATTTTGGGAAAGGCCCTTAACCTGTGTTTCATAGACACCCTCAATATCAGGAGCTGAGAGGTCAGCATTGATCTCATTGATGTGTTCCTGGTACATGTCCTCAGGAACAGCATACTGGTACAGATAATACACCACACCAGAACGTGGAAGTATCCGGTTCACCTGTCATTAAAATGAATCAAAATGAAGTTTGTCTCAAACCAATTATAAACTCAATACTTGCTTAAATCTTTAAGCAGCTGAATGGGCTGGCACTAAATTAACTTACAGTCAAGAATGCTCGTCACACAGATCATTTACAGAATTGGTGGTAAAAATGTTATACTGCAGACCTTTTTGCAATTAGCTCCCTCTTCTTGCTTGGGCACTTTCTGATTGACATAAAACACTCGTGGGATGTTGAGCTTCATGCAGTGCAGGTCACTGCCAATGACAGCCCACAGCTTATAAAAGCCTGGGTGACTGGTTTCTGCAATCTGGAGAAAGTGGATAAAGAAACACATCATGCTTTTTGATCGTACTAAAAAGAACAAAACTGCTGTTATGTTTCATAGTTCAGATTCACTAGCATTCAAAAGTCTGGGGTCAGTGAGATTTTTTAAAAATTAATATTAAATTGGCAGTAAAGACAAAAGATTTCTATTTCATATTAGGGCTGTGCAATTAATCGCATGCGATTGTTATACGCATCTCGTCAATAAAGCCGGTTCCGTGATTAGTAGTAAATCTCCATCACCTGCTTTCAGATGGAGCAGCATTTACTACACAGAGCCGTAGTTCACTGACAAGCTACACAATATCGCATTCATTATCGCAGGCGATTCATCATGCGCCTCTCTTTACTGATGAGATGCGCGTGACAATCGCATGCGATTAATTGCACAGCCCTATTTCATATAAATGCTGTTCTTTTGCACTTTCTATTCATCAAAAAATTCTGAAGTGGTTTCCACAAACATATTAAGCAGCAAAAACTATTTTCAACATTGATAATAAGTAATGTTACTTGAGCACCAAATCAGCATATTAGAATGATTTCTGATGGACCATGAAACACTGAAGACTGGAGTAATGGCTAAAATTTCGCCTTTACAGTTTAAAATCTATTCAAAATGAAAACTTTCTTTTAAACTGTAATAATATTTCACAGCATTACTGTTTTTATAATATTTTTGATATATGCAAATACAAATAATGCCGCTTTGGTGAACACAAGAGACTTCTTTAAAAAAAACAAAAAAACAATTGAACGGTACTGTACTGTATTGTACTGTATGTTAGATCTAAATAGGGTTGGGTATCGTTTGAATTTGATCAATTCTGATTCTTATTGATTCCTAGTTTTGATTCCAATAAGATAAAAAAATCCAATATAAAAAAAAAAATAAAGTCCAACATTTAGATGAAAGAATTCTGTTGCAGCTGAATAATGAGCAAAAACCAGCAGCCTACAGAACACTTAGGCCTACAAGAGGAACTTTTGCCTATGCTTTTAACAAAAATACCACAGCAAAAACAGCTAGACTAATATAAATTTCAAATATTACAGTGTTAAAGACAAGTAAATAGTCAGTAATAAAATAGGAACAAACAAATCAATTAGCAATAGCATTTGTTTGTTTGTGTTTAACGCCATTCCAGCTTCTGTGTCTATTTTCATGGCGAGAAATATTATGGCTAAATTATATCATGTTTTTATAATTTATAATTAGCAATAGCTAAGGATGGGTACCGAAAACCGGTATTTTTTTGGACCGGTACGTAATTGCGTCAATACCGGACTACCGATAAGCTTCAGGACAAACGATACTGTTATCGATACTTGCGTTGTCTCCGTATATTTTAATGTTAAAGGCGAATTAGAAGCGGCTGCTTGTCATTTTCCTTCACTGAATGATGTGGCTGACTTTGCGTGATGTGCGTGTGATATCCACGGTGTGTGTTTGCGTGCAATCAATCATTGCGGCAAAAGTGAAACGTTCGAAAGTGTGGGCTCACGTTACAAAGCTAAGCGACACCAGTGCAGGGCTCCAGACTAACTATTTTTACTAGGAGCACTGTAGCCCCTGACTGAAAAATCTTAGGAGCACAAGCAGAAAATGTAGGGGCACACCTTAAATCAGCCTGCAATGCAATCATTCACATATTTCCCCATTTTAACGGTATTACCGACAAATGCTTTGATAATAAATAGACTTAACTCATAGAAATTGCAATGTGAAGTATTCTTTTAATTTCAGAGGGATATGACAAATACATATATATAATATGATAAAATTACTATTGTTTTGCATTAACAAGTGCTGTTACTATTAATATTACATGTTCATTTTTTGTTTATTTCATGTTTATACACATTTGACAGTAAAGCACTAGGCTTGAGTTGGGAAGCTTACAAAATTTATTTTATTAACAACAGTAACATGGGCAAAATCAAATTTTTATGTAGAAAAGGTATATATTGTACTCTTATTAAATGTACCATTGTCCTTCTATAGTCTTATATGGAACTGACCAACAACTTCAGTGATTATGTGTGATTTAGTCGCAAATTGAAGAAAAGTTTGTTTTTCAAAGCACTTTGTGACTTTTCTTACTCCATACACAAAAAAGAGCAAACCTCTGACAAAATATGATTTCTTGATGATTTGATATTTTATAATAGCCTAGTGATTTCATAATTATTTTAGAATTTTAAAATATTGAGGAAAAAGTATAAATGAATGACTAAGCCAAAAATCGCTCCTCTGCTGCCATCTACAGGTTATAATAGTGATTGATGTATTTTTTTTTTGTGTTTGTTCACCACAGTATATTTTGGTCATCCCATTGAAAATAACATTCAAATTTGATCATTTTGGAGTTTTCAAGTGCTGGAAACAGTCTTAGAAAATTGCTTGAATTTCTCTCTCAAAAGGCTGTACAATCCCTGAAATGAATAATGTAATAACATTTGACTATTTCTGCCACAACACCATGGTT